TGGCAACAGAAATTGTTCATTAATCCATATCCTCCTGGTGTCAGTTTAAATTGAAACCATTTATTTTCCATATATTGGCTTAAAGTTTACATTGATTTCAGATGAATATTTCCAGCATATTTCAATTAGATTTTCACCTTCTAGAATTATAGTCTATAATTTATAGTTTATTTATATGGAAAAAAATAGGTATCAGTTTAAGTTTGGTCTATTTACACAGCACTGGATACACCAAGTCCAAAGGTGATTCCAAAGTTTACTAAGAAAAACACATAGTGTTAAAATCCATGCTGGCTTGACACATGCACCTAGTGGACAAGCAGATATTTGCAGCCTTGTTCAACTTCCTTATTCTCTAATAATGCTGTTAATTATCTGGACATTATCTGAGGGAAGTTAGTATACACCCCTCTCCCTCCAGATATAGTCAACCAAACCAGATGTTTACTCTTCACCTTTTAGTTATATCTTTATTGTATACCTTGAGTCTGACCGTAACAGGATGTCTCGTTTTTCTCTCCTTTATATACCTTATTGCAAAGGTATGTGTATATGCAATTTTACTGTAAGAGTTTTCTTTTGTTAGGGACCAAATTTTTGTTGTTATTAATGACATTATCACCATCATTTTTATGAGTTGGCATAATGATTATCAGTTTGAAAAACTGAGATGTAATTCAGACTGAGACTGATTGTCACACTTTCAAAGTAATACCTTTGGGAAAGCTGTGAAACCCATTCTCCTCCTCCTCCTCTGTCAGCCATTTTGATATTTGTCTTCTCACTAGATGATAGAGATATCCTTATCTGCATGAATATATGAATAATTCACACTTTCAAATGGCTGCTATATCTATTGTCAGATATGACAGAAGATAGTCATCATCATTCTGTTTCCTTTCTTGGAAGAGTAGCTTTTACCAGCTTATGATAATAACTTATGTGAGCATATGTTTGCTTTATTGCAGATTGGAGAAGCTAAGCATCCATTTTATTGCTTTTGGGAACAATTCTTTAAATTCCTTGGCATGTTTAAAGGAGGCTAAATGTAATCTAGAACTATCCAAGGAATGAATGTTTAGAATCCTAAGGTAATTTTCAAACCTATATATGCCTTGTCTTAATGGTATAAACTACTCATGATGTTTGTATACTAAAGCTTAATGTCAGCAATAGTTTTAGTTAAGTTTTAGCCTGTTTGAGAGTAATTTATTGTTTTATTCACCTCTGTCTAAATATAACTCTCACCACTTAACTGAATTGGAATCTTTGCTATTTTTATATGCTAACACATTTCATTATTATTAGCTAAATTTCATGGCATAACTGATAAAATCTTTGTATCTTCTTGGATTGCTTTACAAATATTTTGACTTTTTTATTTGTTGTAGAAAAAAAAATTGAAAAATAAAAAAGATCCTCTTAGTATTTACTTCTGTAACTTTTATCAATATTTTTTTCAATCCATTTCATCTCAAGAAGGGCAATAAAGCCACTAAGATGCAAGGGGTTACTGATTGCAAGACAATTTCTTCTTGTGAAGAAAGAAAAAACATTAAGGAGAGATAACAATAAAAGAACAGGAATTAAGAAGACATAAGATAACTATGGACATTGCATATAAATTTTATTTTAAGTTTCCTCCCTGCTAAGTAAATATGTGTTGACAAGTTTCATGAATATATTTATAAAAATGAAAACATGTCTACTAGTTTTCTGTTGGTCGACTTGGTCAGTTTCTTTCAGAAAGAGAGAAAAAAAAAATTCTTAATTACAATTTGTTAAAATAATTTAACAAGATCCTGTTTTACATTGGTGCACTAATATAATGACTATTTACATATGTATTTCAATACGTTTGTAGACTAACAGTGAAAAATTTTTTTTTTATTGATTTCACCCCAAGCAAGGCAGTAAAGTTACTAAGACACAAGGGGGTTACTGGGTGTGGAAGGATTAGAAATGAGAACCTTTACTAAAGGAGCAAGAACAAAAGAAGAGTAATCAGGATAATAGTAGAAATTGATTCACATTGCATTTAAATTTTTTGAGGATTAAAATTGGCTGAAAAGCATATAGCCAGAAGAGAGTTCTGCAAGCGAAAAGTGCGATAAAATAAACTGTTATCATAGAGATTATGGTTACATATAGCCAATTCAACTGTGAAATGGTGAGACCTTGTTGCCAGTCTAGTACTGCGCTTAAATTCAAAAAGTCTAGGTACCATGGTGAAGAGCTCATCTGAATTCAAACATAGCATAATCTAGATTTCCTTGAATTATATCTCCTTGAATTAGACTTCCTTGAATTAGGATTCATCTTTAAACTCAAACTTTTGTATTGACATAAATATGAAGCCTTTTCTTTCTCAAATCAGAACAGTACCCTCAATACCAGACATCTTGGATGTTTGGCTTAGAGGAGTTTTACTGTATGTCCTTATTTTTGTCTTCCTTTACAGATTGTAATTGTTTTTGAATAATATTTCATAAATTTTTTTGTCTTAGTTTACACAAATTACAATATTTGTTTTGGAACACAAATTTTTTTCATTACTACTGATTGTCAATTATTTTTTGTACGTCTATGTATTCTATTTACACTTCAAATAAAAACAAATTAACGTTACACAAACTGCCTTTCGTATCCTAAACACTAAAACTTAAAAATTTCGAGTTTGCCACAGCAGCCATTTCTTCCTTGAATTCGCACAGTACCCTCAGTACCAAAAATGTTGGATGTTCAGTTTAGAGGACTAGCACTGTAATTTCTTGTATACAACAAATATCTAATTTTCAACATGATCTCCTTCCTTGTTGATGCACATGGGGGGCAGGAACAATCCCAAAATCCAAGACATTATGAGGTTTATTAACATGGTAGTGTCTATTAAATTTTTGAAAGTATTTTGGTACATATGGACTAAAATATCAAACTTTTTCTACCTTTTTTTAATTTTTGTTATTTGTCAATCAAAATAAAAAGAAATAGATTTAATGTAAACAATCCAATAAAAGTAGGCAAGGTTTTCCTAGTGAAAGGGTGTAGGGAAAACTGGGTGGCAAGAAAGGTTATATAACAAGTACCTTACTCTGGGGGTTGTGTATATTTTAAACCAGTGGTTCTTGAACTTTTTTGTTCAATGCACCCTTTTCACCATATACCAGAATGTCATCCTCTCACTTCTAATTCCAAATAATATGCATATATTATTGAAAATCTTCATTCTTTTCCCTATTAATACGTAGACATTTACATGGATTATTTTTTATAGAGGAATTTTACAAATAATCGTAGCAACAGAAATCATTGATTAATTTTAAAACTTAAATATGATAATACAGGAAAACATCGACTGAATTCATTTTCCTGTGTTGTTAAATGCTGCAAAGTTTCATTTTTTACAAATTGTGGTAGCACTTGGTCTTCATCACAAGCAACAAGAATTGTTGACAGTTTATCAAACATTGCAACATTTTTCGTATTGATCTTTCTCTTCCAATTTTTTAGCATGCTCGGTGATAGCTTTGAAGGAATCTTTTTATCTTTCCAATTTTTTATTCATCTGTTCAATAATATCAACACTCCTGATCATGGCAAAATAATTCCTCTTATCCTGAACTTCAAAAAAATAAATTGAGCTCATCTCTAAGATAGCTTTGAAAGCCATTGAACATTTGGCAAATGATGGCCAATAAATTTGAAGAGTCATGAGTTGATTCTCCTTTAATAAAATTTGTTTGATTCCCTTCCTTAGATCTGGAAATGTTTTTTGAGGCTAGAGCCTGACAATGAAGTAAACAGTTAATGCCTTTTTTAACTTTTTTGATACAAACAGTTTTTGTCCCCAACATGTAGTGCTCCATCTGTATTGTTTAAAAGATTTTCTGGTTCAAAGAAAGATGAAACTTTTTCCATGATATCAGAGGCCTTGGTAGTTGTTTCAAGAGGAGAACAAAACAGAAACTCTTCTTTAAATGAACCTAGCTTGCAAACATCATCAACTGGGAATGCAATGCCACATCTGTTGATTCATCAAGTTGAATTGAAAATAATCCAAATGTTGTAGACTTGATCTCTTGCACCATTTGATCCTTGATGTCACCTTTTGGTTTCAATTTTTTTTTTTCCTCCAATCCATTTCCCAATTTCCACCATTTTGAAAATGTAAGTTTTGATCAGAGTTTCCCCAACTGTATATTGTTTATTTTTTCTGCTTTGCTATCTCCAGTGCTACAACATGAGCTTCACTAACCTTTTGGTTCATTTCTTGAAATGCCCCTGTTGAATCTAGCTTCATTTTTTTTTTTTTTTTTTTGTGAGCCTTTTCCTCACATTCTAAAAAGCTTTTGTCTTTGTGTTGAGGATGAACATTCTGAAAATATTGCTTCAACTTTGTTGGTTTCAAAGAATCATTTGACAAAGCTTTGCAACACACTGAGGCCTTTCTTCTCTGTTGATGGATGAGAATCCATGTTGAATACAGGATTCATCATACCATCTTTTTTGACATTCATGAAGGGCTCCAAATTCTGTAAATAAAAAACAAGAAAAATTAAGATTCACATTAAAATACCAGTTCTTACTTAATCACCTAAGTTAAGCAACATTGATCCTGGTGTTGATCTAGATGAGTGATTACTTAGGAATACCAGGTGCTGTAAGTTTGGATGTGCAGGTGGTATGATGAATAATGGCTCATAATTGGAAATTGAAGAGCCGAGTTCCGATTCCACTTGGGTTCATTATAATCACTTACTTGAAAATACTGTTGGGAATGATGTGAATCTATCTTTCCCATCACCTATGGTTTTAATTAGTAGAACCTGTATCAGTAAAAATCATTATCTCAAAAAAAATCTTACAACCTAAAAATATTTTCTGGCTTTAAATAAACTGCAAAAGGTTGATAAGCTGTAAAAACAATCAATCATTTGCTCAACTCTTCCTCTATTTCTGATACACTTAACCCATTAATCACATGGATGAGCATTAATCACATGGATGATCTACCCATGTTTATGATATTAAAAGCATCAGATCTCATTTGTTTACCTCCTTTCTCATTTGATTTTCTCTTTGTTTTTTTTCTCCTCCTTTCTCTATGTTTTTTCCTCCTCCTTTCTCTATTTTGTTTTTTCCTCCTTTCTTTTTCTATTTTTTTTCCTCCTCCTTTCTCTATTTGTTTTTTTCCTCCTCCTTTCTCTATTTGTTTTTTTCCTCCTCCTTTCTCTATTTGTTTTTTTCCTCCTCCTTTCTCTATTTGTTTTTTTCCTCCTCCTTTCTCTTCCTTTCTCTTTTCCTTTTCTTTTCACCCCAAACAAGACACATTATTAAAGAGCAAGAACAATAAAAGAATAGGAATTAAAACAGTAGATAATAATTGACATTGTATTTAATTATTGAGTGTGAAAATAAACTGATAGCAAAAGGATCATTAGATGAAACAGGCCTGCATTTTAACAACTTTTCCTTGATGCTGGTAAATGGTTAATATGATTAGTTAACATATTTTCTGTGATTTTTTTTTTTTTTTATATTAGAACCTTTACTTTTTCCATCTTTGCAAAGTAGTGATGTCTTCATTAGATTCGTCCATTTCATATTCAAACCACTAGAGACTGAATTGATTTATAATTTTGATTCTTTTAAATCATTTGGGATTTATTTAAACATTTTATTAGCATCTGCTTAGATGAATATACATTGAAACTGCAAATCTGTAATATACAAAATGGATCAGGTTATTTTAAAAATGGTCAACATATATAGTCATTAAAAACAATGCTGGTTCAACTGAGAAATAAATGCATTATATAACTATATTGTTATATTATCAAAATTGTAACAGTCAGTCCATATAGTCATACATGTTATAAAAAGGGATGATATGTATATTAATATATACCTCATGAGATGCAATAATTGTCCATCCTAAAATGATATCTTAAACTAATCATTAGTAAGAAGAGAAGAGCTAAAATCAACAGTTCATTCAGGCTTAATCAAAATTCATACTCTGGCTTCCATCTTCAATCAAGAGAACGGTGAATAAGCAAAAGAGGTAACAGACTGGAAGGTTAACAGCAATTTCAACTGAGAGATTTTCTTATTGTTCAAAGTGATATAGTGTTATAAAAAAACCTCATATATATTAAAATAATTAATCTGGTAATTGGACAACTTTGCTGTTAAAGTATTTATGAATATATATATTAAAATAATAAGAAAGAAGAGTAAGATTTACAATCCAGTGTTCTTAGTAATTATTTTTATTTTTAAAGAACCGGGCTCTATACAAAACAGTAGAGCATTATTGAGAATGGAACGGAGCTATGGATTTCAAATTTAATTTTATAATTAAATTTAAAATTTTAGCTTCTGTTTTCAAACATGGTAATTCTTGTGTAGCAATGAAACCATATTTTTAAAATAGAAAATAATTATGTATATATATATATATATATATATATATATATATATATATATATATATAATAAAAACAAAAAAACAACATTTCTTTGTGTTAGTAAAGAAAATTTTCTTTGTTTTGCTTTTTTTACCTGTCTTTTTACTGATATATTTTACTTATATCTGAACTTATGTACACTATAGACCAAAAGTGTGTGTGTGGGGGGGGTGTTCACCCTTTGGATTTAATAATTAGTAAGTTTCATACCTTCTTTGGTTTAATTAACTCCTACTAAGCTAGGAACCTGAAACTATTTAACCCATTAGTGTATGGTGCCCATTTTTCCAGAGGAAAGCAACTCACAACCTACCTGGCAAGCTTGAGCAAATGGATGGTAGAGCAAGGTTTGGGGGAAATCACAAAAAGACAAAATTTATTAAGAACCACAAAGAACAGGAAATTGTGGAGAGCCATGATTACCAACATCCAGAAGAAACACAGCATATAGAAGAAGGATGTATTGTTTATTTCTGCTTCATAAGTAAATTCAATTGATAAATTTTTATTTAGAAGATCAGGTAATATTGTTATATAGTGATATATTAATAAAGCCTCATCGACATATTGGAAATTTTTTTTTTTTTTTTTTCAGTAAAAAATATTTTAGAAAGGACAATTTTTTAGAAATTCTACAGCTCCACTATTAAGAGAAGATTTGATTAGTAAATTAATTTTCCTGTTGATAAAAATTATCAAAAATGAAATAAATTTGAAATAACATTAATTTGTATTGGCAAATCTTTATTTTATCTATAGGTAGGGAGATGGTAGGTTTTGATTTTACTACACATCTCTAGATTTATTTAGGCATTTATTTGTTAACTGGTATATTAGTACTATTATACGAAATTTAATATCTAAACTTATCTAAACTAGCCATATATTTGTCTCATATTTGTGTCTTTTAGTCTTTCTTCAAGGTTGACGGAATTTTTAATGTGAATAGCTAATTGTTTCAAGATGAAAAATTAAATTTTTTACTATAGTTTTTTTTCTAGTCTGTGGGGAGGACTGCCAATCTCAAGGTCATATAGAATGCCAGCTTTGTTTGTTTTGAGTAGACCATAAACTGTTTTATGGTGATACTCAATCGATTTTCTCCATATCTTCTCTTTTTTGTGTGTTCATTATTAACTAATTTTGTAATTGATTTGTTGAATTTTAATATCTCTGAAATTATTTGATTTTCATTGATTTCTTCTTCATAAACGTTTGTATTCTGAGTTAAAACTGTTTTAACTCTTTGGTACAAACTTAAAAGTAGGTACCTCCCAAAGAAAAGCAATACCTAAGGTTTATTTTTAAAAATGGAAAATCTTTCTTGAAGCATTTATTTTAGTTTTAATTTCAAGCTAGTAGATTAAAATTAATATTTCCAATAAGCAAAATATTTTGTTGGATTTCAAACTGATTTTAAAATGATTTGAATGAATTTTTTCTTATCACTAAAAATGATAAAATCATCCATATTGATGAAACTGTCAACACAACGTAATTCTCTTTATTAAATCTTTAAAAAGCAAAATATACTTTTCTGAAACTTTATATTGCAGAAGATCAGTTGATTTAAAGTTTAATTAATCTGATTTTAAACAAATATTACTTACTTTTAGTTTAAAATATTGCAGTATAGCATTTTTTGACATGGGTGGATGTTTTTATGATGCGTTGGCAACTCTCTTGATAGATTTGTCTGGGAATTTTTTTTTTTAAGTGTGATATAATTGCAGCAATTACTTGATGAATATAATGTGAATGCCTTTTTATATGATTTTTTTAACTACTCCATAATTTTAAAAATTTACAATATTCTAAGTAATCTAATATTTTATTAAATTTTAGGTATTTTGGCTAACTTAAAAAGACACTTGTTGAGAAGATATTAGAAAATTACCAATAAATTTTAACTTTACTGTAGTTACTGCTCTTATTTTCTGATAATGTTGTATTTAGACATCTGTATTTACAAATATTGGCATGTTTATACACACATAAAATAAATTCAAGATTCTTTTCAAAATATTGGGATTAGTTGAATTTTAGTGAGCTTTTCTGTTTAATCCAACTTTAATTCTAAATAATCTTAATTTAATAACCATATCATTTGACCACTACAAATTTATACAGAATATTAAGAGTTGTAAAAAGTTTATAAATTATTCTAAATTAAACTTTAAAAAGAGGGGAAATTCCAAATCAATGTGTTTTTCACTGCAAAAAAGATACTAACATTTCCGATACTAAATTATGGTCACTTGCTGACACAAGAGAAAAAAAAATTTTAATTTAAATTTCAAAGATTCTAAAAAGGATCAAAAAAATATAATTTAATTAAAAACCTTTTGGTATTTTCTCTTAATAGCATAAGGAATTTGATAAAATTGTTTTAAGTTTGGGGCATTTTTCTGCACATATGTTCATTTTTTAGCAAATCTCTAGAGGTATCTACTTGTCTTATTTTTTCTATTGTATATAGCTTTATTTATGATAATAATTACAGCTCTTTTATCTGAGACAGTGATAGAAATGTTATTTTGGGCTAAATTTTCTAGTGGTTTTATATCTTTGCATTGTTGTATTGGAGATTATTCCTGCATGAAACCTTTGTTGAAATCTATCACTTTGCTTGTGGCTCTTCATTATTGTATCTCTATTATTATATCTTCCTTTCAATCCTGGTTTAGTCTGGAACTGACATTGGGTGTCAAAATTTAAATATAAAGGTTGAGTATCAATGTATATTTAATGCTTTGATGTAAATAGTAACTGACATTTGTTATATTTTTACCTTCTTTTTTCACTTTTTGGTGGAATTGTACAATACACACTGCAACCAGAAATAATCATTTTTTTTCATTTTTCCCACTCAAACTTTTTCTTATTACTATAAATTAAATCCTCCAAATGATGAATATAAAAAAAAAAAATTATTAAATTTTATAAATGTTAAGAAGCATATCCAGATTTTTATGTAAATTCATTGTAAATTGACCCTCATACAGAAACCCAAACAAATATGCTTAAAGTAATTTCTTAAAATGGAAAAAAAAAAAAAAAAAAAAAAAAATTGTAATTAGAAATTCTTTCTTCATACATTATTATCACTTAAGCCTTCCAGATTACAAAATTTTAAAAAATTTATTTATTTTTATTTTTATTTTTTTTACTTTTTGAAGAATTGCCTATTGTCTGGTTCATATTCCTCCCAAGTCTTTTGAACAGGGGAAGAGTTTTATCCTTTGTTTCCTGTTTAGGATTGGCTTTCTAGTTTCTTCTAAAATCTGTTCAAGCTCTGTATGCCTAACACTTGTTCTTTCTTATGCTAATATAAGGCCATACAGTAACCCTCTATCTTGAGTGGTTCTTAGGCCTTTTATTGGGTAAACATCTATATCTATAAAACAGATATGTGTGTGTGTATAGGCTATTATGCATGTCCATATTTCCTGATCAATTTTGATGAAATTGTACACACATTGCAAATTTACGAAAGTATGTCAAGAGCAAATTTTCAATCTTCAGACCCCCAAATGGGTTTGGCAGAAAAATCAATAAAACTGAAGATGGGTATGAATTTTTTTTTTTTTTTTTTAAAAAAACAAAGCAAAGTTACATGTGAACAAAATTTTTACTGGATGAGCTGATGTTCTTTGCACTTAAAACATATCTCATGTTATGAGTTTTATGTAGAGTGCTTGATACTTTTCCTGTAGCATTGGTTTCACACAAAAAATTGCAAAAAACTGAAAAAAAATCGGGTTTTTTGTGCTACTAAAATAGAATCTTGAATAAC